GAAAAGATCGCTTCGACAAATAATATTGGATTCTCAAATCGTTTATAAATAAGCATACAAATACGGCATAATTTATCATATAATTGAGAATAATAAACGATCTAAAAATAAAATCGTTTAACCAAAGTTGCCCGCGTTGCTGACGTGCATAAGAAACGTATCATACATAACACACACACACACACACACGCTCGGTATGTCTAACGAGCGCTCACGATGGGGATTATCGCATACATTATGATACCGAGTCGAGTCCGGCAACAATGTGCTATCGTGTAATTTACGGGAATTGGAAAATTTACTATCATCAGCTACCCACGAGGAATCGTGCGACGTCGCGAGTGTGAACGAAGCCAAGGAATGAGACGAACGCGTGGAAAGATAGACGAATGAACCGCTATTTACTGACGAGCAATTCAAAACGAGCCATAAAGATAATAAGGCCACGATGTTAAAAATACGATGTACCTATCCACGTAACGAAATGGACGAACGAGGAGCATTCAACGAACTGCCAAGTTACGAAAAGATTACGAACGGCAATCAGTGATAAAACAAAAATTGTCAATGCCTTAAATCATCATGACAAACAATTATTCCAATAAACTACGATAAAACAAAGTGACGATGGAGGAGTATACCGCAAGTTTAAATCAATTAGTCTTTTTTTCTTTTCAAGAAAAAAAATAAACAAGACACCGAGAGAACTGATGTCTCCCTAACATTGCAGTCATATCATTAGCCAATATCGAACAATATCGCGGTCTCATTTTATGAATAAAAACGCACTTTATAGTCTACATTTTCCCACAGAAGAGAGCACGGAGGAGAAGCCGGAGGATCGTTTGTCACGTTCGTGCTCACCGCTGATGCGTGACTTGTCCTAACGCTTCCATCCGAGATACCCCGATATATCTTTAACGACACCGAAGACACGCGCAATACGAAAGAGAGAGAGAGAGAGAGAAAGAGAGAGAGAGAGAGAGAGAGAGAGAGAGAGAGTACGGTATCACAGTGTAGGTATAGAGGGAAGAGGGTCAGCAAGACGATTAAGAGGCGCCAGGTCATGGCACGTGAAGGCGATGTCGCGTTCGGTCGTTCGTGCGTCTCTTCGTTGCGACGCGACTCTCGGCGATGGCTTTCATCAGTCGGTCCTGCGACATAGTTTCGCGGTCGCGCCATTCCGTCAAAAGGCACCGCGTCGCGTGCACCGGTGAACGTGTCCGCGAAGATAGCGTGCATGCTCGGTGGAGGACACAGCGGGTTGTTCCGATAACGCACGTTTCGTCGCGCGCGTGCAAATTGATATCCTGGCGACGAGATACGCATGAACCGTCGTGAATAACGCATTCGGCAATCGAGGATCGGTTACCGCACGCTTCTTGTTTTAAAAATAGCATGTAAAAAGAGATGCATGAAAGATATAGAAGAATTTAGGAAAATGTATATACGGTAAAATATACGGTAATATGACAAAATAATAGTGTAAATAAGTAAAGAGTAACGGAGTTTCTTTCAGGCGCCATGCAGTGCCATGCAGGCATTAACATTAGCATTAGATGACGGAGAATCGTCCGACAACCCGGATACGATAGTCCCAGACCGCGCGACGACGATTTATTATTTCATCGAACTCAAAGAATTCCGCAATTCCGTACGATGAGTCGGAAAGGAACTTACGTAAACGCGAGGAATCAACGGTTTGTCGTCTCTCGCGCGGATAACGCGCGCAAGAAGCGAAGGCCTCGGGATTGATTTATCGCGGTACCTCGCTAAAAAGTAGCGCTCATTCGCGCTCATTCGTTCGGCAGCTTCACGTGACTCGCAACGTGTCGCTCGCGAAAATTCACGTGCCCCCCCCTCCCCATCCCCGTGTCTAGGGAAACGATTATACCCGGCATCGTAATGCCCACCGTAATTTTACTTGGCCATTATCGCGTTTATCTCGCGAGGTTATCGAAACCGGAATTTGCCGCCCGACCCGTGAGTACGTAAATTCGGACTCGCCGATTTGCGGGAATACACGGCGCGCGAGACGTGCGGACTTTTGTCGTATGCGCGTACACAACAACAAGTTCCGTCAGTCCAAACACACCGCCGAGCGCCTGTCAACAGTGACGACTTCTTCTATTCGTACATATATATATTATCCAATTCGACATTATATCTGATTACTCTCGTTATTTTCTCGTTTATCTTTCGGAAAAACGGAAAAAAGGAAAAAAAAAGAATGAAAAAAAAAAACTCGCGTCCTTCATCCACTCCGTTCGCTCGTTCCCAACTTGTCTCGAGCTGACGTCTCGAGAGACGGTTGCAAACTCTTCCTGAACGACAACAATAATAAACGTGTGATTACACGAAAGAAATTGCAATCGCGCAAATTTCGGCATCGACCCGGTCGGACAGCGCAGTTTCACCGCTAACGTCGTTAGCGCGATCTTGCACGTTCATTTCACACACTAGCCGCCTGATCGATCAATCCATCGCGACGATCCGACGACGAGACTTGATTACCTGCTTAGCGACGCGACAAATACACGGGCCGTAATCTCCCGTCGATTTACCTTGGGGTAAAATGCCGTAAAATCGGATAGGGACACCTCTCGATACCCGTCGACACTTGGCCGCGTCGCTGATACTTTGATATTTTGGCGCGCGGTGTTGTCCGAAAGGTTGTCCGAAAACGGTGTGATGTTCGCGAACTACCTCGACCAATAACCGGCGCAAATCTGTAATAATGTCTTGCAGAAACGATCGAGCGATAAAACGAGCGACGATGAAATATCAGCCTTTAGCGATCTTTCCGCGACGTTTCAACGATATCTCATTCGAACGCCAAGCGACATCGTCCATTTTTCCAACGCGAGATACGCGTTCACGGGAATGATTCTTAGATACGAGGCTCGACTTTCTTATAATCGTAAGAACGATCAGTCTGCGACGTTTCGAGAAGAAAGATCAGATCGCACGTATAACGCTGCCGCGCTTAATTAAGCGCGAGTGCACCTGGCGCGATGCCAGGCGAGTTTCGATTTTTCTCACGCTCCTATATATTCGTCAACTTGTTGTTGCTCCCCGTGGGAGGCTTCCGCATTAAATTCATTCATGCCGGGGTCAAGGGGTCAAGGCCGCGCACATCGGACGCGGACGCGGACAGGGCGTTGACTCCGATATTACGCGATAGAGGATGTCTCGGTGTGTCGTTGCATCTCTCGATGGGGTCAATACACCCGTTGCATTACGCGCTATGAGTTCTATTATGCGCTCTCTATCGCGCCTAAGTACCTGCATTTATGCGACACGTATGTCACTCGTCGCGAAACGACCCCGAGCGTGGTGAAAAAAACGCCGGATATCAAAGAGATTTTCTTTATCTCCGGGTGCGTTACTACGCACACAATTTGACGATAAGGAGACGCGAATTGTGCCAACAGCGCGGCGACTTTTCAAACGGTAGCGAGAGCTGCCGGCGAATTACGCGCGGCTTTCGATGATCAACGGCAAGTCGATTCTAATTAACCGCTGTTACATCACCGGCCGTGCGTTGTCGTTGCATTGCGCAACCTCTCCCATCGTGAAGCCGCGAGAAAAAGATAGGAATTACCGGTCGAGTTGAAAGTTAACGATCAAACTCGCCGCGTCCGAGAGGATCGAAAACGCGTAATGGCGTTACGCAAAGAAAAAGCAATGAACCGACTCATCTCCTCTGTGTCGCGTGTGCCGAAGGCACAAGGACGATTCTTCGCCGGCTGGACGAGACCGATTATAGCGACTCGACGAATGACACGTCGAAAGAGCGTCTCGCGGTCGCACATCCGGTTATCGGTTCGCGTTCCGACAAAGTATCGCGCGAGGATTTTACGCGCTGCGCGATAACTCGCGGGACAACTGTAAAAATAAGAATAAAACGCAGCACAGCTGAGACGAAGATAAAAGTCCTACCGAGCGGCGGCGGCGGGAAGAAGGATCGACGCCTGAGCGCCGATTGCCTTTCGCTCGCCGCGAATTGCTCGCAGCGTGAAAGACGGCAATTCTCTCGGCGCGCGTGCGAAAAGCGATCCATAAACTCCGACGGCCGCTAACGGCACCGACACGCTTTGCGTGCTTTGGTCCGCGAACTGGCGTTTTACTACGCGATCGATGACTGTTCCGCGATGCGCGATGTAATAACACGCGAACGGTCGGTTCCGGCGTCGATTAAAAATCAGGAGATACGCCAGGCGTTCGCGGCTGTTCCACGCTGTGCGCGTGAGACATTTTTTAATTTGTAAATAACTGCGATCGGTCAGCCTAGTTCCCGACGACCTACGCTCTCGCCCCCCCCCCCCCATGCATTTCACAAACGAAGCTTGTAAAAATATACCGCGCGATATGTATATAAAATACAGCCGAGTGAGTGCACACGGCTGTATATATTTTATTTATTCATAGAACATGCACAGATGAACAACGTCGCGTTTCACACCGCGAGATCGCGGTGAGAAACTCGCGAACATCGTGCGAGTTGCAGCGCGTTGTTATTAACATAATTGCTGCAACGCAAGGATTCTGCAGGCGGAGGAGGCACGGTCGTTTTATAATCATGTTATTCAAACACAAGTAATCAAGATATAATGCCGCATATGCGGCCGCGAACGCATGAAATAACGCTCGGGTAGTTACATAATTATTGTTAAATCAGAAACTCGCTAGACAAGTCTACGGAATAACCAAGGAACAAACACATCTTCGTAAGCCTCGCAAGCCTACCTTCGTCTTCGCAAAAGCAACCGTAAATTTATAGTTGATGTTTAGGTGCTACAAAGAAATCATTCGTTCGTCGTAGGCACCACGTAAGAAAAAAAAAAAAAAAGAGGAAAATACAAAGCTATCCTGCTGGCACTCTGTTTTACGCTTGTGCACTAATACTCGTAAAAGACTCGACTTGTATGCGTTTCTCTTTAACGACCGCTGTTCGATCTTAATTGTGTCGTTTCTTTCATTCTGCCGTTCCTTTGCAGAAACCCGACATGGTGGAAGAGGCGGTCCGGTTTGGAACGCGGGTTAACGGTGATCGCGGTTTCCGGGTTCCTCTTATGCATCGCTTTAGCGGTGGCACTCGGAATTTTGGCGAGCAACACGACATGCAGCAGCAAGCCCGAAACCGGTAAGAGTATTCACTTTTCCAGCGAGCGACACGCAATCGTACCGCACATATCGCATGTCGCAAGTGCACACTGTATTGTCTAGCGGACACAAAAGCGAGATTCGCATTCTCCTCCTTCTCAACTTTGTGCTAAAGCCGAAAACACGCGATGCATGTGCAAATTAGAACAAATTGCCGCAGGACTCTGATCTTTCTCAGCCTAAAAGCCTAAACGTCGTCGGAGACGACATCGAGCAGTATTTTTCACACTTTCAAAGATACTTTTCACACAAGTACGTCACAAAAAGTATGTCGGAAAAGAAGTCTGAATGCGAGTTTACGTCTTTTCTGTCGCATGGCACATATTGGCCGCGCGCACGATAACGAATCTGTCTTTTAGAACTGTTCAAACTTTGCTTGTAGGAAAGCAATTTGCTTATTTTCTCGGTACGAAAAATAACGACATACTTTCCTTCTTTTACACGCGACAATGTCGCGTGTAATCAATATCAAGATTCTCAGAAGAAATTACACTTTATTGCCTTTTATCCTCTTGAGACACGTAAATTCATAGATTCGCACGTATGCATGTAACAGTGAAATTTCACTCGCCGTCGTTCCAAGACACGCGTCTGTCTCTCATTGCGACAAAGACGTATCTTTGTAACGACTGTGTTACTCGACGTTGTCCAATCGCATTAATCATTAATAGCTCAAGGAAAGTTGCCGGTGACGGGCAAGTCACGATTCCCGCGAGTATATAGTAGTCGCGAGCCTCTCTAATGACTTGTGCGATAGGTGGCTTTGTTGCAAAATATACACAGTCAGTCTACGCGACGCGACTAGTTATTCAAATTTAGGCCCATACTCTGGGCCTTTCTTTCATCGCTAAAAGTGATTCTAAAAGTGTAATCAGGCGGCTTATACGCGAGCCACTTTTATAGTCACTTTTGACGATAAAAAAAAGTTGCGGAATATGATGAGCCTTAGTCCTCAACGTTAAAAATATCCGTATCCGCATTCACGTTTCATTCATGTCAAGTTTGAGTTACTTATCAGAAAGAACAAACTTACGATAAGAACGTTTCTGATAAAAATTATCAAAAGGTAATTTCTAACACGTAACAACTTTAATTGTTCAGCAGACTTGTTTGTGTCGTCCTGTGTAGGTATTCTTCCTGCGTAGGAATAACGGAATGGTTTTTCACGACCCGAAAAAGTTTTTACTGGAAGGAGAGAAATATATCAAGCGTGTAATAAAAGATACTTTAAAGAGGAGCTCGTTAACTCGTCTTTTTGTCGGGGGATTTTAATGGAGGGACTTTAATTGAATTTAAATCACACGCTTTTAAGTGCAGGCTTTAATTACCGTTACAGACGTATCGCTGAGATCATCTCGCGGATACGCGCGCGCTGTTTTTCTCTGATATTTCGGAGAGAGATAGGATTCGCGTTCTTTTCTTTTTTTTCTTCAACGATCCATGCGACAAGCAGCGATTACGTTTACGATCGAAGCCGCCCAATAACGGTATGCGTCCGTGTCGTAAAAACAGTTTTAACTGTACGAAAGAGTGAGGCGCGATATTGCAACGTGGTGATCGTAAACTTTATTCATACGAGTTCGTGTCTCGTGTATTAAAGCGCTCCACCAAGCGCTCGTTAGACGAAAGAAAACGTTACAGAGGCGCTACGAAAATAATCCGATCGAATTTCAGAAAACATTATTATCCGATCGTCAACGCAGGTCTTGCGTTTTTTCGCCGTTATTCGCTGCGTTATTTGCGATCGAACTTCGAAAGTAAAGAGAACAGAAAGAATTTGTTGGATCAATTTTTACATTTCTCTGGAATGAATTTTCCTTTCATTTTGATTCAAGGATTGAGATAGAATAAGCCGCCGTTGCCGTTTTAAGTCTGGTATTTTCAGCCGCGCAGGGAAATATCGGAAGGAAGGATCTGTCAGTCGAAGATTATTCTTAGAAACAAAAGAATGAAATTATTACTTTACTGTAGTCGAAAGCTTCCGTCGGATCGATCGACGCACAGTTATCAGTGTAAAAAGTAATCTCCTCGTGAAGAGGCGAGACACATTTCGAGAAAATCAAACGAGAAACCACGGCGGCCTAAAAAGTAGCGACAGGATCGTGACGTATAAAATCGAAGTGACGTCAACGAGAGTGGCGAGTCCGACGCACTTGGATATTCTTACTGAACAAACGTTTTGAGAATTACTCAGCCGCTACGGGGTTTGTTGTTTACAAATGAACGGTAGACGGTTAGTTCCCACCAGTTTACAATGCGCGCACCCCCGTCGCGAATACTCCGATCGCGCGTCGGAGTGACGTTACGCAAAAACATCGATCGTCTGACGCATCCGAGATATTTTCGGGAAATCTCCTGAAGAAACCAAGCGATACGAAAACAACGCACGGTGGCTGCCGACGTAGACGCCGCCTTTTGCCACGAGAGAGAGAGAGAGAGAGAGAGAGAGAGAGAGAGAGGGAGAGAGAGCACGTGGTGGTGAGTTACGTACATAAGCCGGCGATGAGTAGTAACGAATGAAACAGCGCGCGACGTTCACACGAGCACACACACACGCGAATTAATTAATCGGCCACGCGCGCGTGCGCGCGCACGATGGAGGGAGCTCCCAGTATTGTATTGTTACATTAACTTAGCATGTATGAAGGAAGGAGATTGAGTTTCGGTAGGTCACACTTCAGACAAAGATAAATCCGTAGTCTAATCGCAGAAGTACGTATAAGCGCAACAATATAACGCTGACCGCTTGAATGAGAGATAATGGATCGGAGTTTGTTGTGTATGCACTTTAAGTTTTATCGTAGTGCTTGTGCTTCGCACTCACTAATTTATCACCGTTACGCACTTGTTTCTTTCTCGCAATCGCACCTGCATCCTGCACGAGAATAGAACCCGCTAATGCAGAGATGCTACCGTCCACAGCCGAGGCGTTGAGCGGCTCAAATATGCCAAAGGGCATCCAGACCGTGGAGAAAAGCCCGGAATGCAATGATATCTGCATGACACCGGGATGCGTTTCTACAGGTCAGTAAAATACACGGCGATGTTTGAACATCGCAATACGTTTTCCGATATTATACTTTCACTATAAATAGGAGATGCTTATTGCGTGCGAAATATCCTCGTCTTTGACTCGCTCCAGAATCGCTCCAGAATCGCTCCAGAATCGCTCGGAAATTTAAACGGATAATTTCCGGCGCTCGGTTTTTGTCGCATTTTCCTCGATAAAAGTCGATCTTACGATTTTACGGCTAAAAAAGTAAGTAGTAAGCATTCGTTGTAACGTGTGACAATGTTTACTTCCCAAAGATGCTCCGGCAAAATACAAGCTCAGATATTTAAACTTTCATACGCAATAAGTTGATGTCGCGACACAAGCGAGGGATAAATAATCTCCTCCTCGCCTCCACGCCTCCAGAAAGAGAATAAGAGATAACCAGTTGTACTAATCTACACGACGTAATATGCACACGCAACACAGCCTCGCAGATATTGAAAAACATGAACCCCGACGTGGAACCCTGCGATGACTTTTACAAGTTCGCCTGCGGCGGCTTTCTCGACACTACGATCATTCCTGACGACAAAACTAGCGTCAACACATTCTCCATCATCGTCGACGACCTCGAGGAGCAACTGCGATCTAGTATCGAGCAGGACGATCTTCCAAACGAGCCGAGGCCGTTTAAGCTCGCCAAAAATTTCTACAAGGCTTGCATGAATAAAAGTAAGCAAGCTATCGTACGACGATCACTTTCTCACACCGCACCAGAAGACTCGGAAAAGCGCGACAGACTTTTCCAACGAATTCGACGAAATGAGAAATTACATTCGGAACTAACGAAACCTTACGAAACTATTAACCCTTCACCCTTTTGCACGAAACTCTCTCTCTGCTCCGATAAAGCACCGATACAAAAAAATTTTTAATCGCGTAACGACAGACATCTACGACAGAGATTTTATAAATCATAAAGCAGTCATAAGTCGAAGTCTAAGTGACGCTCAGTCGCGGGATTTTGTTTGTAATATCTATGGAACTGTAAGTCTCGCATTAAAACACTACTTTCTTCCAGCCGCTATCGAGAAGCGAGGCCTGCAACCGTTGCTGGACAATCTGAGAAAACTCGGTGGCTGGCCGGTTCTGGATGGCGACCGATGGAACGATGGCGATTTCACGTGGAAGGACTTCGTCTACCGATTCCGCAAACTGGGCTACTCTGTCGACTACTTCATCGATTTCGGTGTCGGCGTCGATTTGAAGAACAATTCGAGGCGTTTGATCGATGTACGTTGCCGCTAATAAGCCCCCCCCCCCTCCCGCCCTCCCCCCCCAAGCGAAGGGACTTCGCTGGAACAAACGCGCGCGCACAGACAAAGACCATCATTTACAATTAGAAATGCAACTTGGCGTGCAAACTCCGTAAATTATGGACTTTCATTCTAAGCCGTGCGACAAACTCCTCGCATGCTCAACTAACGTTTACGTTCACACAGCTCGACCAAGCAGCCCTCGGGCTCTCTCGCGAATACCTAATCAAGGGCTTGGACGAGAAAATCGTCCAGGAATATTACAAGTACATGGTGGACATTGCTGTAATCCTCGGTGCCGACCCGCAACGAGCCAAGACGGAATTGAAGGAATCGCTCGAATTTGAAATCAAGCTCGCAAACGTGAGTCATTATACGTGACGTCATTGTGAAAGTAGAAAGATGTAGAGTCGCTATAAAGGTACGTCCTCTCTGTGCCGGACTAGTATTCCATCGTCTATTAACGAAGATATTGCGGCACGGACATTATTAATTGGCATCAATTGAAGTGTAATCTGTCGGTATTAATTGGCGAATCTAATATGCGCAGATCTCTCTACCCAACGAGAAACGACGGAACGTGACCCTTCTGTACAATCCCATGACTATAAACGAGCTGTCCCTTACTTATCCCAGCATACCATGGCGGGAATACTTCGATACTATTCTCGCGCCTCAAGCTCGTGTAAATCGGGACGAGGTGATCATTGTGAACGTACCCAGCTATCTGAAGAGCTTCGAGGATCTGATCCAGCATACGTCGAAAAGAGTGCAAGCGAATTACGCGTTTTGGAGGGCGGCCGCCGCATCGGTCAGCTATCTTACAGACGATATCCGGAAGAGACAACTCATGTACACGATACATTTGAACGGTAAAACGGAGAGAGAGCCGAGGTGGAAAGAATGTGTCGATATAGTATCCAGCAGTATGGCGATCAGCGTCGGCTCGATGTACGTGAGAAAGTACTTCAAGGAAGACGCGAAGAAAACCGCGCTCGAGATGGTCGCCGATATCCGGGAGGAATTCACAAAGATTCTAAAGAAGGTGAGAAGAGAAGAGAAACGCGAATACTGAAAGTTGATATCGCGGGGGACTGAAGTCTCGAGATTGATCGCGTCTCGATGTCCTCCTTATCTAGAGAATGGAAATCTTGGAAATATAAATCTTAATGTGATGTTACTTTCAACTGGGACTATTGAAGTCTTGAAAACGGAATTCTCGACGTTTCTTTATCGACAAATTAAAATCTCGAGAGAACGAATACTTTCTATAGCTGCTGTTAGTTGTAGAAAGTATCCTGTGAACACTGTGTGCGCGTGTTTCTTTGATCAATCTTTCGACACGAGGTTGCACGCGTTTCTAGGTGGAGTGGATGGACGAGAACACGAGACTGAACGCTTTGGACAAAGCAGCCGGCATGGTGTCACACATCGCTTATCCGGATGAGCTGCTGGATGACAAAAAGTTAGACGAGTTCTATTCGCGACTGGAATTGAATTCTGACGATTATCTGGGAAGCATTTTGAACCTGACGATCTTCGGGACAGACTTTTCTTTCGGCAGACTGAGAAAACCGGTGAACAAAACCGAGTGGATCACTCACGGAAGGCCAGCTATTGTAAACGCTTTCTATTCGTCGATCGAAAATAGTATTCGTAAGTGTTCTCCGAGTATTTTCATGCATTTCAGAAAAAAAAAAGACGCAATTATTAAAATCTCGCATCTATATTCCCGATCGATTTCCCGACCGATTTTAATTGAAAAAATAAAGGATTTAAAAAAAAAATCTTAGTTATCCGCGTGCCGAATTATCGACGACTATTCAACCACGACGTGCGAATTTTCTCTTTCAGAATTCCCCGCAGGCATTTTGCAAGGCACATTCTTCAGCAACAATCGACCTCGCTACATGAACTATGGCGCTATCGGTTTTGTCATCGGTCACGAGATTACCCATGGTTTCGACGATCAAGGCAGACAGTTCAACAAGGAAGGTAATCTCGTCGATTGGTGGGATCCACATACGAAGGAGCAATACCTCAAGAGAGCCGAATGTATAATCAACCAATATGGAAACTACACTGTGAAAGACGTTGGCATGAACGTAAGGCGAATCTTATATATTCATTTCTGCTTATCGTTCCTCATTGCTCCTCACTCGCCGCTTTTTCACGTCGCATTCGCGCTACATAAAGACACGTACTGAATAATCGCAAGAATAATTCTCATTCAAGTCGATTCATTATATGCCACGATATACCGCACGAATGCTATAATGGAATATTCAAGTGCGATAAGAGTATCGAATTACGACGATAAGTGAACTTTCTCATCGAGGTCATATATTCGTGCGCGCATGTACAAAATATCTCTTTCTTAAGCAGCGTATAACTACCCGAGCAATGGATCGTAAAATACGCAGTATCTCTAGAACGTCTCACGTCTCTCTATCGCAGTTATAAGTGAGAAAAAGAAAACGGATTTCCTTTATGTGTGAAATAATGACAGTCCTTCATACGTATATGCGTGAAAATCTTTTATATCGTAATAATTTCTCTCTCCTTCTCTCATGGATGGAAATTTTCAGTCGCGCGACTGCGCGACAATTAATCTGCATTATTTGATATTTTTATAGTTAAACGGAATAAACACTCAAGGCGAAAATATTGCTGACAATGGTGGCATAAAGGAGGCCTATCTCGCGTACAAGGAATGGGTCAAGCGAAACGGACGGGAACAAAAACTACCGGGTCTGTCCTACAGTCCGCAGCAAATGTTCTGGATAAGTGCCGCCAATACGTGGTGCAGCAAGTACCGGCCGGAAGCGATGAAGCTGCGCATCACAACCGGCTTCCACAGTCCTGGCGAGTTCCGCGTTCTGGGACCGCTTTCGAACATGGAGGAGTTTGCGCGAGACTTCAATTGTCCAGTCGGCTCTAAGATGAATCCCGCGAAAAAGTGTGCCGTATGGTAGATTTTAAATCAGAGAGAGACGAATCTGTTATATATGTACAACCGTTGAAAATCCTAGAAGGCGCGTTATTATGTCCCTTATTTTGTTGAAGTTTATTTCGCCAATATCGTTCCACGGCTTAGAAATAAGAGTAAAGTTATACGCGAATGCGCAATGTTATCTTTCTCTTACTCCCATAGCCGTAAAATATCGTCTGCTACTACAGACGTTATCATTCTCGAAACCATTATCGAATTGTTATTCTGTAGAATTTTGTGTCGCGTTTTGGAGTATTCTAGGATTCTTCTAGGGTTCACAAACTCCTAGGGTTAACAAACGGAAAGAGGAATCGACTAAACAGATGCAAAAAATTGGGGATAACGCACTTGTTCCCAATACACGGTACATTGTGTTGGACGCATCGTCGCAGCAGAAAATAATTTTATCAGTGACGACGCTGCTTAGAAGTGAAAACTGACAAATGTGCGACAGCACGATTTTGCAACAGCACGAGATGCAGAAAAAGAGATGAAAAAATTTGCTCTATGAGGAATCCATAAAAATCGATTCGACTTGCGCTCTTAGACACGCGGAATATATATGTATATTATATATACAAAATGCCCCGCTCTTATATCGCATTAATTTTTAATGACAGTTTCTTCGGCTTATTTGGCGTAGAACTTTCCTGAGCGAAAATATCGAGGAACCGATAATCTCCGAACTATAAACGATTGAGAAAAAAGATTCAAGAACATTTTTTCATTTCAAATTCTTGTATGTCCTACATTCTTTAATTAATTTCTGATCGAGATCTGATAGTTTGTTTTAATAAAATTTTAACAAAGTTTTAGAAATTTTGTTCTAAAGATTCGTTCTAAAGATAATGTAAACATTTAAAAAATTGCAGAAAAAACCGTTACCTACATTTTCGCTAAAGAAAAGTTCTCTCCAACTTGTCCAACTTCAGGAAATTCGCTATTACAAAGTAATGCAGTAGAAATGAGTCATTTTGTATATATCGTTTTTGGTAAAGAACTTTTATAAAAAGAAATCTATATCACGGTGCGCGTATGTAAATAGAAAGAAAGTGGAATATAACAACAGATTTAAAAGTTGATTAGTTCTACTCGTATGAAGTTTACTTCGTGTTAAAGGTCATTTAACTTTGATGTACTGAAGTCTTTGATGTACTCGAAGCATATGATAATTGTTATGCCAATGTCGATCTGAAATATTCCAACAACAGTAACAAAGTAAATCGTAGCATTACGCTCCAACGAATTATCCGACACGCTTGATCTAGTTTTTAATTAAAAATCTATATGATTGACACATTACATAAAAAAGAAATATCGGCAGCTTGATCAAAAATTCGACTTTCATATAATTGACTTTATATTTTTTTTTCCTTTTTTTTTCATTGATAGCTTTGTGAAGACTCGCTTCTTAGAGTAAATTTTTAAGTATTCAGTTGATGTGGAGATGAATATCCATAGGTTTATATACAAAGTGTCTCGTAAAATCCGGAATCAATAGTACATTTTTCAATAAATTTAATATATTTCTTTAGTAGAAATTATTTCAACGGAAACTGAAACCGTTGCTTGCTTTTTGCTACTTCATGAAGTAGCAAACACATAGTAGTATTATCGAGTAGCAACTGTAAATTCAACAAGTCACATTAATTTGTATTCAGATAAAATTTATTTTCTAATTAATTTAAATAAAACATCTTATCGAAATTGAATTCGCTAATATTTGGTCGCAATGTTAAATAGCATCAAATATTTCCTTAATTAATTAAACTTCTCTTTAAATTTTCGCAAATAGACATTTCTATTACTGTTACTCCTATCTTTTACGAGCCACATTTTGTACAATATATTATACATGCATTTGTACATGTATAATTTATATGTATAATTTACATGTATAATTTATACGTTATCGACATTATTCGAGAATTACCGAGTCACTTGTCAATCGTGTCGAGTGTGTTCTCGGGGACAAATTTATTAGTTGTATAGTTACCGTCTTTAAGTACTTAGGACAACTTATCACTAGTATTAAACGTAGCTATTTAACTACGAACGATTGAAGATGTGTTTGCGCAGTTGCGCTTTACAGCATATTTGTTGCGTCCATATGCACGCGTCGCGCAATACGATAATTTTACTGCGTTAAGCTCGATTGTTTGCCTTAGACGCATTTCGCAATTTTCATATTTATTACGATGACTATTTAGTCATCGAATATTATAAGTTTAGACAAACAGATATATAAGAGACATGTATCTTATGAAGTATTTGTTGAGTGTAAAAGTTTAATACAAAAGAGTCTCATGTAAATACCAAATTGTGTTTTAGAAAATTACTTTTCAGAAAATTAGGAGTCTGCGAAAACGGTTTCCTGCCTGCTCAGACGAAACATGCGCAGACATGTCTAGCGAGTATTGTATAAACAAATGTTTCATATCACTTACGTTAGCAGATCGATGAGAAGGATTGCTCGACGCTTCATCTCGCAGCTCCGATTGCCGACCCACACTATCGTTTTAGTTTCGATATATCCGACTGGTCGTGCTGCACTGAAAATCATGCTGCACTGGAGTGTCTTGAAAATATTTCGCTTGCGCCATATCTATAATTATACAAATCGCCTGATACTGACTTCTACATTCCCAACATATTTCGATGTATTTTAGAGCGAATAAGAGACGGAACGAACACGACGGCAATTGCGCGCCAATACCCGAACCGACATTTTGCGAGTTGAGCAAAGAAAAAAAATGGCTTCCCGTGCTTCCCGCGTCTTATAGCTGTGCTCGGCGTCCGACGTTAAATTCGGCATTGCCGATTTTTACTTCACACATGCGCTACATCTTGGAACACGTAAGACACAAGACGCAATGATTTCGCGCCAATCTCCGAATCGTTGTAACGCGAGTCGCATAGTTCGTCGCCGCTAATTGCGCTGATCATTCGATAGCGAATTCGACACATCTTCGAGCGAACGAACGAAAGACAGAAAGCGATACGACAATTTCACGCTAACGTCGCACAGTGTTAAAAAATGACTTACCGTTCGATCGTACACTTGTAGCTGTGTAGATTATCCGATATCTCGCGCGCTTTCGAACGAGCAAGACGCGAAGCGAACCGCACCGGCAATTTCTCGTCTCGATCTTCAAGCCGGCGCAACCGTCGAGAGCAGCTCATCGTCGCGCTCTTGCGGTTCGTATCGATCGCCCGACGCTGCTATTCTCGCTAGCACTCGCGATATTCGTTTCGCGCGTAACACGTCTCTTCAGACCAGGAGAAAACAAACGCGCGACGACGACGACGATGAAACTGCGGCCGATACCTCAGCCGCCATGATGCGAAAGTCGTATTATTTTCAAAAATGATACGGGCTGCGCTGATTGGCCGATTGCACTCGATGCTTTCGATAATCGCTACCCGCGCGATACGCTTCTAAACAAGGAAGAAATGACGCGCTGACAACTTCACACCGATGCACATTAATCATAAATCGCCGTAAATCGCATATAATTGCGAGTTTTATCATCATGTATTTGCGTTCGCGCTAATTGTCCGATGTTACTTTTCATGTCGTACGTGATAAAGTAGTTGAACGCATGAAAGGCGGAACGATAGGATGCGGCAAGCTCATTCCAACCTCTCAACGAGGCGGCGCGACTGTTAAGTCGCTCGTTATAAAAAATTAACTCACTTGAGCATTGATGCATTGCACCAACATGTTCCTCTCGATGTCGCCGATATCGGACAACACTTTATTCGACATTCCAGACGTGTCGAACATTCGTTTGTTATGTTTATTCAGCGTACACGATCAGCAAACGTCCGCACAGAAGCCCGCAGGGACGAGAAAGGATTTCGAACGGTCGCGACGTTACGTATAATGAGAATAGAGCGATGCTGCGCATGCGTAGAACATTCTTGCAACTACGAGTGCCAACATGTATAAAAGATTGAACATAATGATGAAAAACAAATAAAAATAGAAAATAAGTTGTATTATATTAAATAAAGAAAAAAAGAGTACTTCAAACTGTAAACGCAGTACAATTACAATGCATAAATGCGTACGGATGTGTTTGTTCTGTCTGCACTTTTGTACACTTTTCTGCAATTTTTCTCTTACTCCGTTGCCGCTATCACCAAATCACTCAATTGTTTTTATCTCAATCATCAATCTGAAAATTATATTTATTTCAATTATATTTCTAATCACTTCCTACCTGGAAATATCCAAGCACAGACACGACACAGAGTGCAAAATTACACCGTAGGTGTAGAAACGTATGGCGCGTGCGCGACTCGGATTGCGTCTGTCATCGCGACGCAGAGCGCAGAGCGTGCAGTGAGATTTATGCGGGGCGTGAATCGCGCAAAGTTGATGTACTTGGGCTTATTATCGAACAAGACGAAATCACATTAGCAATGGACAAGCCGTCACCGTATAAGCTGAGCAGTGTATTGCTCGGGCATACCGCGGACGTGAGAGCTGTGGCAACCTTTACCGACGGTACCGTCGTGTCGGTCTCCCGGGACAAGACCGCTCGCGTATGGAAACCGACTGGGTTTGTTCGCTATCATAAATGCAATTCTTACACAACGCACACAAATTCACATTCGTCTCAGCTCGCGCATATGTGCTGCTCTTGATCATTTTAACTTTTCTGCCTCCGAGATTTATCTCTTCTTATTTGTGTATGCGTGTTGGGAGGTTGGTGGGAGGGATGTACAGAGTATTACTATCAGATTTGCTCTCTGAATGGGATTTTAATAAACATGTAGTTGAAACTACTTTTAATTCTACGTTTATCGGATAACAAACTCCACTCAAAAAATTACTCTCAACCTGATCATCTCAGTGAGATACTACTCTGTTATAAACCATATTCTCCGAAAGCAGAATACTGCTCTACAAAATACTGCATATTAAAAAATATTTTTAACGTCATGTTCATTAAGCGATTCCTGATGATGTTGGATGAAAATGGAAGTGTTTTGTTAATACTTTGAATTTCTTACAGAAAAGAAAACAAATATGAGCAAAGCGCGCTACTCAAAGGCCATTCTAACTTTGTCAGTGCAGTATGTGTCATAAATCCATCGGAAAAAAGTCCCAATGGTTACATAATTACTGGTAGCAATGACAATATTATATGCGTCTATGTGGCGAATGAAACAATGCCTATGCGTACAATAACAACGCACCAGAATACTGTGTGTAATTTGAGGACTGGCAAGAAGGAAGATACATTTCTTTCCAGTTCGTGGGACCTGACAGCTAAATTATGGGACATAAATGATTTAAGTAAACCACAATTGAATCTGGTAGGTCATACAGCTGCAGTATGGTGTGTGGCTGACTTACCAAATGGTAATATAATAACTGGATCAGCCGACAAGCTGGTAATAGTATGGAGCAGAGATGGTACTGCGCAGCATAAATTAACAGGGCATACTGACTGTGTTCGTGATATATCTGATATCAAAGAAGATGAGTTCATAACTTGTGCGAATGATGCTACCATAAGGCATTGGAACGCCAAGCTCGGAACTTGTCTGGGTACTTATTGCGGCCATGAGAATTATATTTACGGCATAGCGGCCACTATAAACGGCACGTACGTCTTTTCGTCTGGCGAAGATAGAACTGTCAGAGTGTGGCATAATGCGGAAATAAGTCAAACTATCGTTTTGCCCACGCAGTCGATATGGTGTATCAAACTGTTCTCGAATGGCGATGTAGTCACTGGCAGTTCTGATGGAGCTGTGAGGATATTCTCGTCCAATCCTGAACGGTATGCAAATTCAGAAATGTTGGAGGCATTTGAAAAGGAAGTAGCGAATACCACTCTGAATGCGCAACAGGTGATCGGAGACATGAACGTAAGAGAGTGAGTACACTTGATTTTTGGACAAGACGTAAGGAATTTATCTACACGAGTATTGCATTTCGTTGGTATTGTTGACAGTTTGCCAGATTCAAGAGTTCTTCTGCAGCCTGGCCAACGAGATGGACAAACGAAGATTGTGAACGAAGGGGATACAGTCAGGGCGTATAGTTGGTCGCAGAATGAGCAACGATGGATACGAATCGGTGACGTGATGGGTGCTTCTGGTAGTACCGCAGCTACCTCGGGAAAACAGCTTTACAACGGTATAGAATACGATTATGTATTCTCGGTCGATATACAAGACGGCGTGCCACCGTTGAAACTTCCGTATAATAAGGGTCAGGATCCCTGGCACGTTGCACAAAGGTTCCTGCACGACAATAATCTCAGTCAATTGTTCCTAGACCAGGTATGAAAAACTTCAAAGAGCACCAGTTTTAGTAATGAGTCCATCGAAAGATAATTACCTCAGGCATTTTGTTTTTCGTTTATTGAAGTAGCTTCAATTACAAAACGGTAAATAAATTCGATGAGAGAATACCGAACCGAAATTGATTTACGTATTTCGCTTCAGGTTGCAAATTTTATAGTAAAGAATTCTGAGCCGGCTCCAATCTTGAATACCGGATCACAGTTTGTAGATCCCTTTACAGGAGGGAGCAGATATGTTCCTGGATCAGGAACATCGTCTGGTACATCCGGCATTACCGTACAACCACCAACGTTTAGTTCTTCCAACACGTCCATATCTCCTTCTTACATACCTCACTTTAAATACCTGAAGTTAGAACAGGCGAATCTGTCTGCCATTTTCGGTAATTGAATATTGTCCGAGATAATTATTAAAATACAGTAAAATGCGAGGAAAATTAAATATATTAACTCCTTTCTTTTCTTTTCTTAATGTCATATTTCAGTTAAATTACGTGAGCTAAACGCCAAACAAGAAAGTATGTATAAAATAGCAGAGGAAAAGTTGGAAACCATAGATAAACTTACGAGCGACGGAGTGTCCGAAGAAGTTAGGATTAATGCTATCAGCACGCTGAAAGACCTTCTGGAATGGCCGAGCGACACAGTGTTCCCAGCTCTTGATATAGCAAGGCTAACCGTACTTCACAAAGAGGTGAACGATCAATTGTGCACAGAAGAATTGCTGCCAATCATACGAAGACACATCAAGTCCGACGCAGCTTCATCGAATCAAATGCTTACCTTCCGACTGTTAGCCAATATGTTTCAACATGAAAAGGGGGAGAAACTTTGCTTGGATTATAGAGATGAGATGCTCGAGTCTTTACTGGATCTACAGTCCTTAGGAAATAAAAATAATCAGGTATGTCTCACCGAGCAATTATTAAAATTATCGTTTCGCGATTAAGTGCATGATAGTAGATTGCGAAACGGGGAGTACGTTTTTTATATTTTCAATGGAAAAGTTAACCATTGTAAGTTTCTCATATTTTGACGTCTCGCTTCCCAAGCTCTCTGACGTATAAAAAAGAGATACTATCGATATTACGTGATAACGAAAATCTAAGAGGTAGTAGTTCGAGTAGTAGGAAACCATGAGAAGAACCATGTTTAAATTTAAATAAATTTAAATATAATTTACATAAAGTAATGTTTTACGGTATAAAAACGGAATGTAAAAGCACACCAACTCCAAAATGAGATATTTTTTCCAGATTGCTATATCGACGTATATATTGAATTTGATCATAGCGTTAAATAAGTACGACGATACACCTGGTAGAACAAGAGCTCTGAATGCATTGGCCACTATGTTACCCCGTTTGAGTGAACCCGAAGCGATATTTAGAACTCTAGTTGGATTGGGAACATTATTAGCTGCTACACCAGATCCGGACGATCGTAACAAATTGATTAGCGCTGTACGACAGTTCGAAAACGCTTTGAACATTCTCAGAACTCTGTCCGAAAGTGCGACCGATCTTAGTGCGTCGAAAAAAGTGGCAAACTGTTGCAAACAAATTATCGATTTGATCGCTTAATGCGCATTTGTAAGTGATACAATGCACTGCTCGAAAACAAGGTTAACTCTAAAAGCGAGAAAGCGAGTTTGAAAGAGTGTAATTAATAAAAGCGTTTTATCTCACAAAATAAAAAAGCAAATTCTGGCACGTACTAATATAATTGGTGAACGCGATCAGAAGCGTAAAGTAACATAAGTTTTCATGTATGCGTCTTTTGCAGTTCGGTTGCTCAATCGTAAAATGCAGTAAACAATAAAAAGACATTTTTTGATACAGTTAACGCTGATCATTTAGACATTATACACATTATACACCCCGTAGAATTGCAGGATATCAAGAAAGACGCACAGATTCATACGACAGTTGGTCGGTTGTTGCAAATCAACGATTATACGATTTCATACGTTTGCAAAGAAAGAAAAGCAAATGTGTCGAAATATAATGTTACACACAAAAGTTTTCAGATTACTTTGTATATATTTCTACAAGATTGAACATCCTTTTCAGAATCCGCAGTAATTTATTGAGATTGAACTTGTGCAAGTAAAATTTCCAATGACATCTTAACAATTTATTTGCGCTTATTCCATTAATCATTACAACCGAGTAAAAAGTAAAGCAACGCTTCGCGAACGTCACTTGACATACATATTGACTGTTCAGAGTTGAAATGATATGCGTTCACTTATCTCACGTATCTCTTTATAATTTCGTTCGATCATAATGCATGCGTAAATGTTTTCTAACAGAACGAATCTGTTGCATTCAGATATATGTAGAGATATATATATATATATATATATTTTATAATGTATATAGCGGCAATAAAATTCTCGAGGAAGAGACTCCTTACATTCCAAATTCCGTCGAAATCAATTTCACATCAGAGCATTCACAAAAATGAATATCGATAATTAACGTATTGCAGAGTATACACGAGTAAAAATCAAAGTATCTCCTACACACACATCGACGAGATGATATAGAAACAGAACAAATTATTATTACTATCTCATCATCATGGCAGACGCATAATACGCGCGCGCAACACTTGCGCACTTCATTTTACAAAAACTCGTCGAACGAATTATCAAAAAAAAAAAAAAAAAAAAAAAAAGAAAAAGAGAATTACCTGCGTGGAATGTAAACCCGCTTATAAATGACAATCGATTACTTGTAGGTCAGGTAAGATAAGTTGTGTATATTTCTAATGAAAATTAGTTAAAATATATATACAACGATGAATATAAAATAATAATTTATGCAATATACATAATATTTGATTAAATTTCTCGGGCGTCGCTGCCCAGTAAACATACAACAGACAACAGTGTAATATATAGTAGAATATTGTTATTATACATTAACGTCAAATATATATTTCCTTAGTTGTATATCAATTTTTACCTCCGCGATAGCCAAGAGCTATACAATTACCGTAACTCTTGCAGTTAATTGTTACACGAAAAATAACATTCACTGTATACAGTCATATTAACCTTCAATTATGCTCAATGAACAGTACATGTATTACATGAAAGGTAGTTACAGTGTCAGGCCATTCTGACTCGTTTATGGGAATGTGAATGCATTTCTTCTTCTTTTTTTTTTCTTTTCTTTACAAAAATAACTTTCAATATATATCTGAGATCTGTAAGATAATAGAAACAGTGCTGATTCATACAATTCAGAATCCAATTTAGCGCTCGAGTTGTCACGCAGCTATAAGCTAGATGCGTTTTCATACGAATGCACAGGCCCGATGTTCTCGTGTAGAAAAGTGTCTATATAAAAAATCCGAAGGACTAATGTTGCTCTGATGCCAGCAGAAATGTAACGATGCAGGAACCATTATCTCTCAGATTTCTGTATGTAGCAATGATTGACAGCGAATTGCGAATTGCCGATATTTGAAGGCGTTACTTCAGGCGGTAGTACAATTCTCCATATTCGTCGCTTTTAAAAACAAGCAAAAAAAACTAGCTTTAATCAATTTTCACTCGAAATAATTGCAACATGCGGTAAAGAAAAAATGTTCTCGCGAGTATCGACACTTCATTTTCAAGAACTAAAGTCTTCAATTTCGCAGGAAACACGTATCGCATACTTTAAACAGAATCACCAAGAATTCTCATAACATATGAACACCGGTGGTGTTCAGAATCATTCTTACGAATGAGATCCTTGAGTAGAGCCGGCAGCATATTCGTTCACAATATACGTGTATTGATTTCCTCGAAAAGGCATTTTCCCCGTGGATTATTCTGAAAGTCCCAAATTGACAATTAAAATCGCAAAATAACGCCTTCGTCTATCATTCCGAGTCAGCTCGGACACAAGTCTTCTCCAACTCCGTTATACTGATGACGCGAGCCTGGCTTCTCGTGAACGGGAGAGATTCGGAATGCCCTACAGAAATGCACTGATTCCTAAGGTGCCCTCCCTTAAACTTAAGTTTACTGGCATATGTACCTGAGGCGACGTGCATATACCTTTCGCGCATCTCGAAGGTCAGAATGCATTGAAGATTATCCTCGGTGAGATAAGTCACTTCAGTGTGTTCGAAAAACTACATCGAAAATTACCGTTCGAGTTTCTTTTTACCTCTTTATATAAACTACCAGTTGAATAGAAGACAAGGGGCGGATTTAAGGATCAGCCGAACGGAGCTTTGGCCTTCTCATCCGACATTTAAAAATTTCCTCCGAGGGGAAACGCTCGCAAAGAGTCAACGAATATATACACGCCGTCGAGAAATAACGCGAATACCGATGAACGACGAGCAGTCGATTCTTCTCTCACAACGGACAAATTTCCGGGCCATTTCTCCTCAACACCTAATCCGCATAATGAAATCTTAAATTCGCCCCTATACGTATAGGACCTCCCTTAATTTTGTACCTCGGAACTTAGTATACTAAGCGGTGATGTTTTACCTTGGACTACTTGTGATTGCCTGGTGGGAACTCGTCGTTTAGAGATTACTTCGCGCATGAAATATCGCTTGCGGTAAAATAAACACAGCCTCATTAATTGAAGGGTTCGGGGAAGAAGTATTAAAATATATATGTGTATATATGTATATATATATATATATATATATATATATATACACACACACACGTTCTAGAGCTCTTTTGAGGTATGGCGGTACGCGTGTCACCCTCGTCATACCTCGCGAGTACACAGTGCTGGATCCGACATACGTCGAATACCGTTTATATCGTACACGCTGAAAGCGTGTTTCTCTCGACTTGGAAGCATAAGGAACGTCAGAATGTACAATTATGATTATGCGATTACGGTCTCGCGCGCGATGACAAAAGTGTGGAATCTCGTTTATAAAATACTTTCAGTGTCCACTGCAGTGCCACGACAACTTAGAAAGGAGAATCGTTTGCTTCGTCTGTTTTTCTTCTTCTTCTTCTTCTTCTTCTTCTTCTTCTTCTTCTTCTTTTCCCTTCTTTCCTTCTTAGCGAATCGACAATTATATATCTATTCTCTCCTTAGCTCGCGACATGACCGCATCGTTACTTATCGTGATACGCGACAGCCGTCATACATAACGCGCCAGATTCTCGTGATCGAAAGTCTCAACAGGACAGACAAGCGCTTCATCGCGCGTATGGGAATAGTCAATGCCACATTGCTTGACGCGCAGCACGCTGAAAAGCTAATTGTCTAATAACGAAGAGATAAGTTTCTTTTCCTCTAATTGGCGATATATATGCCTCTCTCTTTTTCCTGAACGCATTAATCCTCTCATTCCTGGATTATCTCTAAATTTTGACAGAATGGTGTCCGCACACCACACGGTTACGTTCGTTACATTCACACATCAAGCAACTAATCGCACATAATGTATCACTGGAATATCGTTCAATCTCATAGAAATGATTTAGAAATTCTCCGTCCGTCCGTCTCCGATTACGTCGAGTATTGAACGCGTATTACCCGCGTTACACACGCGCACAATCTTAGAAGCTAATCTTTACCGGAACACAACTTAAGCGAGAATTTAATTTAACCGTTTGCAATTCGCGCGTCTCCAAAAACGTAGAAACGTCGAACGTCGAAGCCGTGTCGGGAATGAGAGGCTCGACGATGAGAGGAAGAAACGAGAAATCACGAAAGGGGAAGTGCCAGCGCAGTTAACTAACTTTGGATGCCTCTAAGAGCTACATATTTCTCCTTGGTATTCTCACCGAACGCGTCTAATATCCTAATTTAACCTGGAAATACACCGGGAGGAGACACGGGGGGGTGTCAGGTGGGAGGCAGAGGGGCGAAGGTCTTCGATGCTCGTCTCTTTACGTACCAGTGTGTAAAGCGCGTTTATCCCATGAGAGACCACCCTTCAATTCCCTAAAGGGCTCCCCTAAAGTGTGACGCGTGTGCGGAGGGACCTAAAACTTGTATTGGGTCCCCCCAGGCCCGTCTCATTCGGCCGGTGTGCTCGACGCCCACCTATCGAACTCTATCCCCGAGTCGGGACTCAGGCCCAGGTCAATCGGACTGAGAAAGCTGGGCGCTGGGCAGTTGCAGGGTCCGTCTGGCCGGCAAGACCCGATACACCTTTGGTCGTTGCCTTTGTGTCGGTCCCCGCGGTCTCTCAATTCCCGCTCGAAGCTATGCAATTGCTCCATAAAGTGGAAATTCGGGGCGACATTGGATTTTCTACTACGCACTAGATTAAAAGCGTCGTTCAGGCTGAGACTGCACTTGTGCATGAGGTAAGCCACGGTGATCGTGACGGAACGAGACACCCCGGCCAGACAGTGAACCAGCACTCCTTTGTCTGAGCTCCGCGCTTCCTCTGAAAAGAAAAGGGGAAAACGACAATGTAACCCTGACCGTTACATCGGTCCTCGATACGATGTTTTCGACGATGTATGACTCAGAGAACAACAAAGTGAACAACACTTCGACCTTCTGTCTGCGACAAGCGATATCCTTGCCTGTGCTTTCTCTCAAGAACATAATGAACACATGGGATGCGAGACGTATTTTAAAGCAGCCCGCCAAAGTCCGTGCAATGCCAAACGTTTCCTCAATTATTAGAAACAATAACAAAAATATCGACGCGATAGAATTTGGTATAGATGGTTTGTTCGTTTCGTTTGTAACAGTCAATTGGGAAAATGAATTAAAACATAATATTGTTATTTGATACCTGTTATCTAGTTAATATTAGAGGATGGAATATAATTAATTAATAACTATGTTGTGTCTCGATCTATTGAATATTAATTGAACGGAAATTACGGGACGAAAATGCCGAAAAAAGCAGAGTGCACGGGTCGTTTTACAAATTCATATTCAAATTCATAACGGCGCGAACAAAGGCAAATCGATTGCCAACTGTGAAACCTATCGTGTCGAGGCAGTCAAAAGTGCCAGACCGGCCCAATAGCAATGCCAAGCCTCGCCATTCAGACTTAAGTATAGCTCTCGACCTAACCGGACATCCGTTGTTTAATTGTCTAGCACGGCTTGCCCGCCACGTGGGAAAGTTTCTATTTAGGCGAACCTATTTATAAGAATGCCCCTTTCAGAGGCTGAGGCGGGGACTTTCTTAAACAGGAAATCCTGTTTAAGAAGCGGTACACGCCGAGATTTTGATGCGGAAAAAGCTCCGGCGCGGTAAATAAAGCTCACGTCATTCGCGCATTCTGCCGTTTCTCATATACACGTTAAGATAATACGAAACCGGTGAATCGTAAACCGGTTATACACAGAGGATATCGTCCTTTGTTAACATCATCCGAAACATATAATGTAAACGTTCTTCACTTCAGATATTAGATATTTATCATATTGTATAAATACTTTTTGTAAAGATTTTCTTTTAATTTAAGAGATATATATATATATATATATATATATATAAGCTAAAACTATTGCGTATTTTCAGCGGATATAAATCCGCATACAGTCTCACAGTTCAACAATCAACAATCATATTATCGATTATTATTAGAATTGCGTGTGACGAAGTCACACTGCTTGCGTCATAAATAGGTATTACGAACGTGCAGAGAGTACATTGAACTCCAATAAGAGAAGAAACACGATGACGAAACATTCATTGGAGATACAATAAAAACGTATGAAACGCCAATTAATAGCTGGGAATCTCTTCTCGTCACGGAAAACTCGCTCGCTACTATACGCTATGTTTCATACGAGTTTCAGACACGAGAGAACGATATCTTCTTAGTTACACAACTACGTTTACTGAAAGCAATTTGTTTAAAAAATAGCAAATTAAAATGCTACAAATCTTACGATAAAATCGAACGACGCGTTGAATGTATTTCTATCCAAATTTACGCAAAAATTTTGCAAAAACGGAAAACGGAAAGAAAGACACACAACATCGACATGCTGCCACTCACCTATAAATTGAATCGCTTGTGGGAAGAAACTAGCTAAATTTTGACTCCAATGATCGCTTATTGGTATCTGCATGTACTTTATCGAACCAGCACTTTCAAATACATTTGGCAAATCCGGTGTCACATTGAGTATATACTGTATCCTGTGTCGCGCTAAAGCCTCGCGATCCTCGCTGTTAGCCGCGTTACCGAGATACAAATGAGGTAAAATCTCCACCGGAAAGTCTTTATCTTCCTCGGGACCTGAAATGCAAACAAACGTAATAATTTACGTAACTTACTACCGTACACGTTCCCATTTGATCATGCAGTAAGAATAATATCGAGTATTTACTAACCGACTGAATCGCACGTGCTGTCACTATCAGAATCCGAATAGGACCTGGTTGGTGGAGTAGATATCCGAAGGGACCTAAGGCCCATTAATTCGCCATCATTGTTGTCCTGACCTGGGGTACATTCATTACTCGCTTGACAACCTTCGCACCATTCTGGATATCTATCTCTGAATGCTCCAAAACCACCTACAAACAAACAATGATATGGTATATAAGCTATATATAATACTTGAAATTACTTGAAATTCCAATTTCGACTTAAAACTAATCGAAATTTTGATCACAATTTTCTAAACATTTAAAACATTTGTAACATTTCTTCAAAATATATATCGCAAAAATTATAGAAAAAAAAATTCTTTTTTCGAAAAACAATATTCTACTTTAAAACAAGAAAATCAATGTCTTGTTCTTCAAGAAAGAACAAAGTAAGAAAATAAATGGCACATATATTCAAATATTAGATATAACATTCATCTTTCTACATCCAAGTCACAGAGTAACATTGACTGTTTTCTTGTTTCAATGTATTAACACACACTGCAATCAGTAAATTGCTAATGTCAAATAAAACATTGAATGGTTGAGCACAACCTTATCTAAAGCCTGATAAAAGCAGACTATAGAATTAAGTGTCTGGTTCTCTCTACTGGAATACCTCCCACATAAATCAATATTTCATTCACAACCAGTCTCTATGCTTCAGCTGTTACTTCTGAAAGCCACTCTATACCACTATTACTACTGCTACTCTTGTACACACGTGTGCAACAACAAAATAACACAAGTGCAAAGTTATAATTAGCAAACACTACGTGATGTTTCATAGTTAAATTTAGAAACCTCTTCTAAAATAACAATTTAATCACACACAAGTGGCTCCCAAAGCACTTAGATTAATCACAAGTTTGAAATGAATGGATAAACAGTGGTATTATAGCACACATGTATATTCCAACACAACATTCAAATTTTGCATATAGTTAATTATTTTCAAGGAGGAACACTGAAAATATTCTAATTTCAAGTAAATTAAACAATTTCTTCTAATTGTACAGAAGATAATCCCAATGGGAATAAATCATAGTAAATCTATCTAGGATGTGAAATGACTTGTTTCTCACCGATTAAGATGGCAACATTGCCTCCGCTGCTCCTAAGTCTTCGACTTAAAACTTGTATCGTTTCACCCTGATGGCCTGCAGGATCTGTAGAATCACCAATTAATACAAATGTCCCTCTACTGCCTTCATCTCCGCACAGAAACACCTTCACTCTGTTTCTCAGGTCTAAACACCTTATCGTGGATAAAAGATCCACTTTACCAGCAGCCAATCTACGCAACATGATGCTGGGTATGGCTAGAGGTACAGAACCTCTTACATGATCATCAGAAAAGTCAGAGTGTGCTCTGCAGTCTAAGATAAGAAGCTTGCTAGGACCCTCCTGTGATCTGAGTTCTTTAAACAGCCATTCTGGACCCAGAAGGTCCTCCTCTATCACACCACTACCTGGCATGTTGTATTTTTCACCTGACTTGTGCAGCTGACGTGTTTTCTATGACCTGATACCTCTCAAACAAATCACTGCTCTGTTGCTTGAGGAACAGCTTTGAGTGCAATGGTATATGTGTAATCACTGAGTTTCTTTCACACAAGTGATCTTGAGCCTCTGCAGCATCGTAGTTCTGTCATTCCTGGACACAGCACCACAGACGAGCGATGCACGGCGTATCTTGTCAAAGTGTCACTCTACTACAATGATCATTCCAACGACCGTTGCTTGATGAAACTTCCAAACAGCAACTCGTACGATACATCGATTCTACAGCCAACACGCCCAACACATTGAAACTGCGGTCGCTTATCGGCATCGAGGAAGCCGCCGCCGTCTCCGCCGTCGCCGTTGTCGTTGCCGTTGCCGTCGTCAGTTGCTCACACGTCGTCTACGAGGTCATAACCGAGTTGTATATGAGTGTATGTACATAAAACGCGCGCGTTGCGTGGTGGGATGCGTACGCGTCCGTCCCTGCGTACGTTACAAGCGTCTTACTACGATTAATATTTACTGGATATGACGAAATGGCACTTTGAGTTGAGTGGCGGTATGCGTTCTCCGGGAGGAGGCATCCGGGACGATCGCGCGCGCGACGTTCACCCGTCGACGGCGCGGTCCGACGAGTTCTCACGCGTTGCCATCATTTCCTGCGACACTACGCCGCGCTGTGTGTGTCTACTCCGCCTCCGCCTCCGCCTCCGCCTCCTCCTCCTCTCC